CGTTCTGGCGAGCGCATGCGCCCTATAGAAAAAAAAAAAAAAAAAAAAAACTCTCCAAAAAAAAGGATTTTCTATCATCCTTATTACATTATATTTAAAATATATTCAGAATACCAGTTTCCTGAGAAATGAAGGCTAGCCGTGTTTCCATGCTCACTGGTAATCTGATGGGATAATAAACCCCTTTTACCATTAAATACCCCACAAACATGCCCACTGGCAGGTCAAATGTCCATCTTGCCTGATGCATGGCGCTGGGACCTGCTGAATGTCCTGTGCTTGGTTCCATGCAGTTGTGGATGTCTACCAAGCTTGGTGTGGCCCCTGCAAGCCTGTGGTGAGCCTCTTCCAGAAGATGAGGATCGAAGTTGGCCTGGACCTTCTGCATTTTGCCTTAGTAAGATTTTCTCTCAACAAAAAGTCATACAGCGTTAAAAAAAAAAAAAAAATTAAAGAGCAATAAGGGGGACCAGCAGATGGCATGATGGTTAAGGCCCTGGATCCCAGAGAGCTGATCCTGTGGTTCGAGACCTGAACCTGGCAGCTTGAAAAACATGCTGGACACGTATGCGTGTGTGCTCCAAATCCCGAGAGGAGAATGGAGGAGAAGGGATTGTGGTGTGGTCACCCCCCGCTCCCCGGGGTGATTTCTCACTTTCTCTGTCTCTGTGTCTTTCTCTCTCGAGCACACACAGCCTATGGGGGGGGGGAAGCAATGAGGAACAGAAAGTGTGCACCACCTTTTTCAGATCATCCATGGGGTATTTTTGGCACTATCAGCATGATGATTTATAATGTCTCTATGTGACTCCCAGTTTCTTGATGCTGTCTGAAGGGAGAGAATGCGTGGCACTCAAATGCTCCAGCTCCTCCTGGGCTGCTGAGCGCTACGATCCAGTGTCCCTCCTAGAGCACAGGGGGCTGCGGGTTCCATCCTCTGACCCATCAAGGGAGCTTTCAGCAAACACTGGCTTGGATTAATGAATGGAAATGAGAATAAATTCCAGAGACGCGTGCAAAAGACACAGCGTATTCTGTGCATGGTTTGGGGGTTCATGGACAGTATGTATTTGCGGAGGCCAGACGCTGCAGCTCCTCTGCAGGGAGCCGGGCTGGGAGCTTTGGAGATTATGGGGGACCCTCAAGTCCTTGGCGGCAGGCTCATCAGTGAGGCCGCGTCCGCGGACCTCTGGCCTCTGGTTGCCAGTCAGGCCCGCAGAGCATGGAGACGGGGTGGGGGCAGGAGAGACCAGTTCCCTCTGCTTTGTCAAGGTGGCGGGCTGCCCACGCGTCTGCCTCTGCGGTTTTGATGCCAGGGTGATTAGCAGCAGCAGGGGTGCGCCAGGCTCACCTGGGGAGGGCAGGGGGTGCGGAGCGCCCTGTGGCCTGGGCCACCCGCCCGGGGCCCCTGACAGCCCTTTCCTTAGGCGGAGGCCGACCGTCTCGACGTCCTCGAACAGTACCGCGGCAGGTGCGAGCCGACCTTTCTGTTCTACGCGGTAAGTGCGCGTGCGCAGCCAGGCCTGTGGGGCTTGCGGGTCTCTGGAGCGCGAGCGGGTGCATCCCCTGGGCCACCATGAAACCTTGGGATGCGCGGGGTGGTTCTCTCTGACACGCCCCCGACGGTTTTATTCCGTGGGCTACACGGAGGCCTGCCCTAGGGGAGGGTGAGCAAGGCCCCTGGCCAGAATGGTGGCCTGAAGGTCCCGATTGGGAGGTCGCGGTGACACAGTTCGTGGGCGGACACTTGTCTGGGGCAGCTGTCCCAGCTGGCTGTGCACGGGGAGAACGCGCGTCATCCAGTGCGCAGGCGCCTTCTGGGCTCTCAAACACTCTAGACTGAGATTCCACTCTCGGAGCACAGGGTTCGAGATCCGCAGCCTCCGCTCCATAAAGGAGAACATTTAGCAAAAGTGAATCCTGCTTTCTGGGTTAGACCCGTTCTCCGAAATGTGAGGCTATGTTGACGTGAAGTCAGAAATGGGAGAGACTCGTCAGGAAAGCCAAGCTGTTGAGATCTCTGCGGTGTGCTATGGCCCGGCCCCGCAACGGCCAAGGCCCCGGACTAGCTCCTGGTCAGGCGCAGGCCCCCTGCTAGGCCCCGAAGGCAGCCGACCGCGTGCTGCTCTGGAGCAGTCCAGCCCCTCATTGAACTGTTAGGGGTCAGGCCTGACCACCCACAGGCGTCCAGATGGCCAGGCCAGCATTGTTTAATTGGAAATGTCACCCTCCTGAGCTCGGCACTGCAAATACCACACGTTAGAAGCTTAGAGTCATTGGAGCTTTGGCTTCTAGAAGGGGGACTGCAGTTCTGCAATGAAAACAGGGTTGGGGAAAGGCACAGAGAGGGGGAAAGGCCTCAGGACGAGACATCAGAGCTCGTGGGAAGTGGGGTCACCACCGTAAGGGGTTGGCCACGTCAACCCTCAGGGAGAACACGCTGAGCAAAGGCTCCTGCTGGGAGTGGGCCGCCATGTCTGACCTCCCAGGATCTGCCAAGTGGTGGGATGGAAGTGGAAGGCGGCCGCTCAGCCTCCTAGACCCACTCTTCCGTGAGTCATGCATAGAGAGACATTTGAAAAAGCAGAAAACTCAGGGTCACCTCACCGACAAGTCTTTTTCGACTGTCCCAGTTAGTGCTGGGAGTTGCGGTCCCGAGTTCCAAGTGCCCTGCAGGCCCCTCTTACAGCGATGGCCACAGTGCAGGTGTTCCCCTGGCATGGCCACCTCCTCCCACCCTGAGCCCACCCACTGACGGCAACAGCAGCTTCATCTTTTCCTGCTTAGCGTTTCTATTCTTCCCTTTCGCCTTGGTGCTTGGGTAGTAAGTGCTCAATAAACATTTGCTGAGGGGCCGGCAGGTGTCGCGGTGGTTAGGGGCGCTGGACTCCCACATGGCTGACCGTGGTTTGAGTCCTGGACCTGGTGGCTTGCTGTCTCACTTTCTCTCTCTCTCTCTCTCTTTCTCTCTCACTCACTCTGTCCCTGGATGGTCAAAAATTTAAATAAATAAATAAATAAAGTTAAATAAAATAATTCTTTGGGTAAAAACAAGTTTGCCAAGGGATGAGCCACAGCCGAGTCACACTGAGTCACTCCCAATGTACTGGTCACTGTTCGCCCCTGGCCTAACTGCTGGTTGCCCCGAAGGAAGCTTTGAAAAGAGGGGCAAAGGGTCAAAGGTGAGGGTCAGAGAAAGGGAAGTGATGCCGGAGCCCAGGGCAGGTCCGAGGCGCCCTGCTGTAGGAGGGGGTCTCAGGAGGTGGCTACCCACACAGGAAGTGGGTGGAGGAGGCCGCGGGCCAGGGGGAGGTGAGTCTTGAACCAGGCACATTCCTGAGCACTCTGGCGTGTCTCCTGAGAGAGATCAGCGTCTGCAGAGAGATCTCACCCGGCCGTGGTCCTTCTAGGGAGGGGAGCTGGTGTCTGTGGTTAGAGGAGCGAATGCCCCGCTGCTGCAGAAAACCATCCTCGACCAGCTGGAGGCCGAGAAGAAGGTGCTGGCGGAAGGCGGACAGCGGAAAGTGGTAAGGACGTCACCCCTCCAAGCAGACTCCGTGGGCTGCGAGGGCACAGCTGTCATCCCCCACCCCACCCGGGTTTCCTGGAGCTGTCAGCGCCAAGCCTCAGAAAGTCCCCCACGGGTCTGCTCCTCATGGAGGGCTCGGGAGACTGCGCGGTGCCCACTGGGACCCCTGTGCATTTTGAAGCCCTCTTGCAAAGGTCGTCCCAAGGCTCGGCTTCCTGTGGCACGATTAAATCACACAGTCTGCGAGGCTGGAAGCCACACAGTCGGCCGCAGGTTTGGATCCCTGAAAACAGCCTGAAAACATGAGATACACGTGCATATTACACCTCAGAGGTTCCTGGGGAGCCAGGAGGCTAGGGAAGGGGATCGCGGCAAGATGAGACCCCGCAGAGGGTTCTTTTTTCTCTCCTCTCTCTCATGCATGCACTCTATGCAAAAAAAAAAGTAAAAATTATCCCCTTCACCCAAAGCCCTTCACCTCCTTTTCCCCGTTTCTCTTTTATCCTGCACTTCTGTCTGAACAAACGAATTCAGAAAGGAGAGGAAGGTTTCAGAATCAAGTGTTGGGAAGGAGGGGGCAGCTGCCTGGCTCCCCTCTGCCTCACAGGGAGATCTCTCCTCGTGACCCACCCCTCACGTTCCTGAAGCTTCTCTCTGGGATCCCGGGGGGCTCATTTCTTTCATTTAGAAATGAAGCTCAGTCGTTCCCATGAGAGGTAGGGTCAGCATAGCTTGTGATCTTGATGAATGATTCTACCCTAACTCGGGCTTGGAGTTCCCGTATGTAACCGGCTGCCTTTGCAAACCATCGCCCCTAGGTAGACAGCTATTCCCGGGCGCCATGTGCACCTGCCGAACGCACCTTCACAGTTTCACATTCGTCATTCAGGTTTTCATACTCGGTGCCCAATAACAAAGCCCTACTTTTTTTTTATGTATACATTTTTTAAAAATAATTATTTATTTTATTTATTCATTCATTCATTTTTAAATTTTACCAGAGAGAGACAGAGGTTGAGAGTGAGAGAGAGAGAGGAAGCAAGAAAGCAAGCCACCAGATTCAGGACTCGAACCCTGGTCAGCCATGTGGGAGTGTCCAGCGCCTTAACCACCACGCCACCTGCTGGTCCCCAAGCAAGGCCCTACTTTTATTGGATGGATTAGAACAATTTTTTCCCCCAAGAAAACTGGCAATTTTTCCCAGGAAAGAAAATTGCAGATGCTTAGATTTTCACATGCATCCTCCCAGGAAAATCATCTCATTACTTCTCCAGATTGTATAGCCAATCACTTAATATTTACTTGCATTTCAGTTTGTCTTCCTGATAATTCCCCATTTCTTATTTTTCCTGAGTCTCAACTTTAAGGCCTTTTTTTTTTTTTTTTGAGAAGTTTTTCGCTACAGGGCGCGTGCGCTCGCCAGACAGACAGAGAGAGAAATAGAGACAGAAAGCGAGAAATCGCCCCCCAGGGGGGATGGTCACGCCGCAATCCCTTCTCCTCCATTCTCCTCTCGGGATCTTGGGCATGCACGCACATGCACCCAGCGTGAGTTTTAAGCCACCGGGTCTGGGACGCGAACCGTGGTCAACTACGTGGGAGTCCAGCGACATAGCCATTACGCTAACTGCTGGTTCCCTCAACTTTAAGGCCTTTGAAAAGAGGTACGATCAAAAACTAAAGATCACCATAGATTTCCTTGTGTTCCAACTCTTATCCCCCACTATCGCCCAGCTACTAAAAAGGATTTTGTCACGTTTCCAAGACTGATTATATTGACTTTTTTTTCGTTTTGTTGAGATTTGTTTTTTAAGAGATTTTTGTGGGACCAGCAGATGACATAATGGCCATGTTGCTGGACTCCCATGTAGTTGACCATGGTTCGAGTCCTGGACCCAGAGGCTTAAACTCACGCTGGGTGCACATGCGTGCAGAAGGGATTGCAGTGTGGCCATCCCCCCTGGGGGGTGATTTCTCACTTTCCATCTCTGTCTTTCTGGGGAGTGCATGCACTCTATGGCAAAAACCTCTCCAAAAGAAAAAAGAAAAAGAAAAAGATATTTTTGCTATAGGGCACGTGCGCTCATCAGACAGACAGAGAGACAGAAAGCAAGAAATCACACCCCTCCCCAAGAGGGGAATGGCCATGTCACAATCCCTTCTCCATTTTCTTCTCAGGATTTTGGGTACACACACAAACATACACGCCCGGCCTGAGTTTCAAGCCACCAGGTCCGGGACTCAAACCATGGCTGGCTATGTGGGAGTCCAGCAAGATAACCATTATGCCATCTGCTGATCCCTCTGTGGGATTCTTTTAAAAGTCTAGTTTTTCGTGAGACCGTGGAAGCATGTGAGAGAGAGGGGAGGCATCCTCATTCCCTGGAGACCCCCAAGCCCAGCCCTCCAGCTGGCCAAGACCTTGGGCACGCGTGGTTTGCCTCAGGTCAGCCAGGTATCAGAGCCCACGGTCAGCCACGCGGCTTCCGGCCACACAGCAGCTTGTGACCGCCGGTGCCCTGGGCTGAGCCTCTGCGGGTTTTGGACGGTCCTCCTTTCAGTAGCTAACTGCTCTCTTTCCACGATCGATCGCACTAGATTAAAGATGCTGCCCTTTGTCAGGAAGATGAATGGCTTCCCCGTGAAAAGCACGACGGCGAGGACAAGGATGTGGGTGAGTGTAGAACCAATGAGCGTGGCACAGACGGGGCAGGCTCAGCCGGAGGTGTTCGAAATAGACAATGAACCCACTGACTGAGCCACC